CATTGCACAAGTAGGTGTGACTGCGATGGAGGTGGTTGGGGTATTATAGACCGATGGCTGTTGAAAGTTCTCTTCAGATCCATGGTTTTAGAAGATTAGGTGGGCACTCTAATGAGTTCTCGCTAAACCGATGCGTAGAACAAGAGACAAGAGTAGGTAAATTTTAGGGGTACTTTAGACATTTGATAATATTTAATTCTCTCATTTTTCTAGCTAGTTATTGTCTTACAAACATTGGATAAATACTTCTAACACTACAAGAAGAAGGTATGGTTCTTTACTTTAGTTCAATTCTTATTACATCCTCTCATCTTTTGGTCTTCTACCGTTCCTAACTTCTAGAAGACTTCCCATTAGTACCCAATTCAATTAACAATGAAGAGGTTTTGACATAAGCTTTAAAAGAGATTGTTCTTTTCACAATGAATTGAAGGTCATGGATACTACCATATCTGTAATTTTATGGGTAACTAATTAACAAACTTGTTCGTTCTCACTTGTGCTATGTAGTATTTGGTGCAACTATTGAGCAAGTTGGGTGAGAAGATGATATGTGAAAGCACGTTGGTTTGGTTTTTGTTCTTGTAGTTTGGGACCTCGATGATTGATAATCTGTATTTTCCACTATGTATATATGTTGTTACTTTTAATTAGTTTTTACTATGTATTGTTGTACTAATTGCCCATTTACGATGCAATCATTTATTTTTCTAGTTTAAGTTAATTATCAACTTTAGATTAATATGAGCAATCATCACTCAACATTACCAAAAGATCAAGCAAGAAAGCTTTTACAAAGAGATTGGAAGGTGTGAGGAAAAAAGAATTAATAAAAAAGTCCTGATTTGATCACATACCCGACCGGGTAATGACAATAATCGGTTGGGTATGACTTGACCCGAAAATCAAACAAGATCAACAAAACAATTTAACGTGCAAGAACATGGAGAACTATGTATTTCCTTGATACGTTGTTGGGTATACTTGCATAATTGGTTGAGTATAACCTTATTTCTGAAGCTTCCGGGCTACTTCGTAGCATACCCGTGAGGGTGCCCTATATACCTGATTGGGTAATCAATCTTGCAACCCCCAATCACCTATGAATACACTATTTTCCTTCTCATTTGGACATTTCTTCTTCCATATACTTAATCTTGTGTTAAATCTTAAAGTTGTGAGTTATTTTTTTAAAGTTATTTCCTTAAATATTAATTCTTTCCTTAGTCTATCTCTATATTAGTCTTGGGGTGTTGCTAAGTGATGATTAGTTAACGCTTTGACATTAATTAGAGAAAAGGGTCAAACAAGGCCTTCTACTATTATGAAATCATCACATAAGGTCATGTACTCAATAAAGTGTCATATAAATACATCTACTTATAAAAACAATCGGATGAGTCCTAATGACTCGTTGACAACCTCTTAATCCTGATTTTAGTTTACGTGTCAATTTTTTTTACTTGTATTTCAACCAATCTTAGGTAAATTTTCGACGTGTGCCGTATAATCTATTATAAAAAGATGGTTTCATGAACACTAAAATCGGGATTAGGAGGTTGTAATTAGGTCGTTAGGACTTGTTTGATTGTTTTTTTTACAAGTATACGCATTTCTATGACACTTTATTGAGTACATGGTCTTATGTGACGATTTCATAATAATAGAAAACCTTATTTGACCCTTTTCTCCATTATTTACTACTAAAAGCGATCAATGAACGAACGGCTAATCATTGATGATTTCACATGTAAGTTACTTCGAGTTATTAATGCATAGTCTCATGGTTAGTAATCTTAAGAGGAATTAATTATGTTGGTTAAACCGAAACCGTTTTGTTGAGCTTATCAATACCAATTGATTTTATCAAGGAGTTAAAAGATCAAAGACTACTATCAAGTGGTATATGGTGACATTCTATACTTGACTAATAGTATGAGTACATTGATAATGAACAATCTCGTTATATATAAATACCCTCGATGAATTGGTGATACTCCCACAATTGAGTATTCGAAAGGGGACAAGTTAAAGATATAATTGTGATCAACAAACATTTTCACAAATAGAAAATAGCAATGCCAAGTCTTTTATTTAAATCATATAAATTGTTCATCTTAGTATCTAATTATTCTCAAATTAAAAATATTAAATTCCCCTTTTTGTTACTATTTCATAAACAAATTCTACTTCATTAGCCTACGCATTAGTGTTAGTTTTGAATTTATTTGAGACATCACATAACTAGTGCCATCAATGATCTTGGAAAACATAAATATCATCAACTAATCAAACAATTGTTTTGATTTCATCAACTAATCAAACAATTGCTTTGATTTCAGTTACGCTTTTATTTACATTGATATTTAGCAAGTAACATGACCGTTATAATATTATTAGTTGGGAAAATTATGATTACCCCTTATAGTTTGATCATAATTATTAGTTCAACCTCATATTTTTAAAAGTCAACTATTTACCCCATCACCTACGATTAATGTTGTAATCTCCCACTTCCATCAACATTTTCATCAAATGCCTATTTCTTTGACTAAAATACTCTTGTTTAGGGATTATTTGTTAAATCCTCTCATCTACGTATTTTTTTCAAATTAGGGGGTCCGGTTCAGTCTAGTATTTTACCGAACTCGTACCCATATCGTGACTATTGAAACGGTTCGGTTCGATCTTAGACCTAAAACCGTTCAGTACGGTTCTATTTTCAAACGGGACGGTACGATATCATACTAATACCAAACAATCTCACTTTTCCAAGTGTTCAAGTGGAAGTTAAAGTTTAGCCATCCTATGAAAAACCACATAATAATTTACCGATTTTCATACTCCGTATTACATAATTATTAAACTTGTGATAAACTATAGTAGTGCAAATCTTAACAGGTCATGACATTGTTTAGATCCCTTTCAAGTCTCGTTTTTCGATCCAGTATCATATCGGTCTGGTTTGACAACATGCCGGTTCAGTATTTTTGCCCACCCCTACTTCAAATACACAAGCGAGTGAATTTTCCTTTGATGTACGAATGGGACTGCGTCTGGGAATTGAAATTGGAGCAGAAAAGAAGAAAAACGGAAAGGCACAAAACACTTTCAAGTGTGCTGCAATGATGCTTGGGAAAACATTAATTTTTTGTTCGAATACTTTTGGAGTAAGCATGTGAAACTTTTAATTGATGTACTCCTATTTTATACCACTCCTTAGTTTAGTTTAGTAGATAAGGACATTTTTGGGAATTCCACTTACAATTAACGGTCCAAGCAACTTAAATTTAATAAAAGGGGGATATTCTAACTTTAATAAAAGCTTAGGGGGTAAATAATTCAGTTCTAAAAATAAAAGGTTGATTTAATAACTATCACCTAACCTCAAGGGGGTAATCATTATTTTCCCTTATTAGTTTGCACCCATTTCAATTCTAGACTAGACTAGATGAGAACAAATCATATTAGGGTTAAGCAAATTAAATCAGACCAAACCCGACTTAAACAAGACCAGATCAGACTGAATCAGAACAGATCATATCAGGGTTAAACGAATCAGATCAAACCAGACTTGAACAAGATCAAACCAAACTTTGACAGTTATAATCAGGCCAAATCAAACCAGATCAGACTAGAAAATATCTTATATGTTGATATATTTTGGAATGAGTGTTAGTGTTGGAAAAACAATTCTGTTTAGTACATGATCGAAATCAAGTATATGAACTTTATATTCTCGTTCAATCATTCCCTTAAGACTTGTAGACTGTTGCACGGAAACGCAAAAATGATGAGGAAACGGGAAACGGGAAACGTCAACTTTTGCTCAAAAAACGCTTATTTGGAGATGTTCCAAAAAGTTTCCGAGAGTTTCCGAAACGGGAAACATACTCTTTCCCAAGAGTTACCGTGCTACATAGCTTGTAGAGGCATAATTATAACTATCTCCCTCCCTTTTTATTTAGTCATCTTTGACTTTTTCAATCAAAGGTGATAAACTTTGATCCATTATTTTGAGTAATACGTTTATGTGAAACTTAATAATTTTATACTTTTATAATAGTATTTTTAACGAAGAACATTTTCATATAATGCTCATATTATCAATATTACCATGTATAAATATATAATCAGTCAAAGTTGAACAACTATGACTTAATTGAAAAATAGTGTTTGGCTAAATAAAAAAGGGAGGGAGGGAGTATATAAATTTCATAAAATTATCTCCCTCCGTATTTTAAAGTTCCTTACACTTTCCATTTTGAGATGTATTTAAAAGTTCCATACATTTTCCCTTTTTGGTAAGTTTTTCCTTTAAAAATACTCAAATATCCTTACTTTTTCTACTTTTTATCCTCTCTTTTCTACTTTTTCACCTTCTCTCCTACTTTTTCTATACTATTCATTACCCTACTATTCTCCCTTAAATCTTGTGTCATAACATAATGTATGGATCTTTTAAATATGTAGGGAGTATAATTTATACTTTTACAAAAATATACTCCGTACTACGTACAAAGTATTAATAAAATATACACAAGTTTTTTCAAATATATTACTAAAATAAAACTTATTTATAAAAATAAGAATAATGTTACTTATTTGAAATGAAATCAATATAGCTAGTAAATACTTCGTATCAGACTCCGATCTCCAACTAAAATATTAGGTCACCCCATTCAAATCTCGGTGTGTACCGTAAGTCATTAATTAATATAGAATAATGGATCGATAGATGAATCCTTGCTACATAAGCTCCAAATAATTAATTAATGTTAAATTAATGTTAACTAAAGAACATTTGAAATAAAAGTCCGCAATTAGTATAGATTTAAGAATGCAGGTAAATGCAGTTAAAGGGCATATCAAATTAAGTACTGGACATATCATACTGAATATCATCATCGATGAAATGTGTGAAGTGGCGGTGCAAGGCGCCCATTTAATTCCTTACATGCATGCATTATGCATATATATATACTTCGTATATATATATTATGTATCCCACCGTCACTTTCGTTTCATTTCAATTCCTCTTATACCAATTTCTAAGGAAGCAAACAAAAAGGTAATTAAAACAACTCAAATTGCAAATCTATACAAAATACTTCGTATAATGTGTCATAGAGGTAGTCATCACGGTAACGTTCGGTTGACCGGGTCCTCATTCGCCGCCGTTGTCATTGCTGCCGCGGTCGTGGCTGCCGCCGTATCTACGCCAGGGGCGGAGGCTGTTCGGGCCTTCTTTGTGTTTGGTGACTCGCTGGTGGACAATGGAAACAACAACTACCTGGCGACCTCCGCCAGGGCCGACTCTCCGCCGTACGGCATTGACTATCCCACTCACCGTCCCACTGGCCGCTTTTCTAACGGACGTAATATCCCTGATTTTATCAGTAAGTAGTACTCTCATGCTCACGTGTCAGATAATAACACGTCACACGTAACTTATGTCATCACATATAGTGGCATAGCTAGCAGCCTAGCACGCCGACATTACTTGAGTGGGCCAGTACATGATTTTTTTAATAAACTTTTACTTGAGGTATGTAATTTTTTAATAATTTCAATGTTTTGTCTTTTATTCAAATCAGGTATTATATACATAGAATGTTTTCTTTTGGACTGAAATTTGCTGGTCTGGTCTGTTTAAGTCTGGTCTGGTCTGGTCTGGTCTGTTTAAGTCTGGTCTGGTCTGGTCTGGTCTGAACTGGTCTGTTTCTGTCTGGTAAACGTCTGGTCTCTGTGTATTTTATAACTACGGAAGTCTGGTCTGGTCTGTTTAAGTCTGGTCTGGTCTGTTCTGGTCTGTTTAAGTCTGGTCTGGTCTGGTCTGTTTAAGTCTGGTCTGGTCTGGTCTGGTCTGGGACTGAAAACAGTCCAAAAGAAAACATCCATAGTCCGTCTCAAATTGTCTTAGACAACCAACATTTTATGAAATCGCTAAATTGTTTCTATTTATTATCAATTCAAATTTTAATATGGAGTATTTAAAATTACTTAATCGGAAACTGCATTAAAAATCTCTATAAAATTGAAAAATTCAAATTAAAAATTAGTGAGGAATTGATATCCTAATTATGTGAATAAGATAAAGTATTTGACCCAAAAAATCAAATTCGCAACATAATTTGGGGCAGAGAGAATATTTTATTATATATCTCACACTGAATCGATCATTATAAGAAAAAGAACGTATCGTAGCTACATTAACCTGATTGTTCCAATAATCATTATATCGTTCATTTATGGTTAATTACAGTATTTTAATTATTTCATTTGAATAAAGCATATATTGGGTACAATAAATTTACCATATATATTTTATTTGTTGATATAAATTGACACAATATGCACATACATGCAGGTGAAGCTATAGGTTCCGAGCCGACTTTGGCTTACTTGGACCCGGAGCTAACGGGTGAAAAGCTATTAGTTGGTGCAAATTTTGCTTCGGCTGGCGTCGGAATTCTCAACGACACCGGCATTCAGTTCGTAAGCATAAAAGTCAACTATTAAAACGTAGTATTAATAATTGTTATAAGTGTTTAACGATACCGATTTTATTTTTACCAAAAAAACGATACCGATTTTATTTTTTATTTAAAAGAACTTCAATTGACTCATTATAAAAAGCTTGAGTGTTTCAAGGAGAGCGAAGTAGCGTATACTCCATCGGTTCTTTTTTAAATGCAACATTGAACTTTTTACACTATTCACGTATTCTACTGTGACTCTATTTTATTTATTAATGTATTACAAATTAAATTTAAAAAAATATTGTTAAATTCTTCTCATTTCAAATGTTCAAAATCTAATTTTTTGATTTTTTTACTAATAAGGAATGAAAGATATGAATGATCAAATTTGTGCGTTGACAAAGGTGAAAAGTAGACTGTTGCATTTAATAAATTGACCAAGTTTATAACACCCATTTCTTGTCTAAATACATTGTGAATCAATATTGGAGCTCTTTCCATGAAATAAACAAAATGATTGTCGTGTTTCATGGTGACTCCGCATTAGACCTTGAATTGTAATATAATCACTATGTTGGGTTGGGTGTGCGAGCATTTGGGGTGGACAATTCCACATTTTGAGTTGGGTATGGTCCCATTCTTCCTTGTGCATTACTCACTAGGCTACGTGATAGAGGTTAAAGATACATTTTAGCTTTTTAGCATAATAGCATGACATATACTTCCTCCGTCCCAATATAAAAGGCACACTTTCCTTTTCGTTCCGTCCCAATATAAAAGACACATTTCCCTTTTTGGCAAACAAAACAGTGCAAAACAGTGTCAAACAATGTCCAAACAGTATCCAAACAGTGTCTAGAAACGCAAATGTGCCTTTTATATTGGGACGGAGGGAGTATTATTTTTATAAATCAAAAAGGAATTGTGCTACTCCGAGTAAAACAAACCAAATTTCTAAAATATGACTAAGACTATGTTTGGCACAATTAGCTGAAAAGATCTTTTAGTGAACTTTTTAGTAACTGATAGCTTTTAGTGACTGAAAAGATCTTAAAAGTAAAAGGTGGTAGCTGTTTGGTAAAAAGCTGACTGTTTGATTTAGTTCTGTTTGGTATACAAGCTATTAGGATTAATTAAAGCTAAAAGTCACAGGCTTTTCTCAGATGCTACTACCTGTAGCATCTCAAAAAAGATCTTTTATTTTTTGAAAAGCTCTTAAAATTCGGCAAGCCAAACAAACAACTAGCAGCTTTTAGAGACTTTTTAAATAGTACAAAAGCCAGAAGTTAGAGACTTATGTCCGCCAAACATAGCCTAAGTAATACTTCTTCCTCAAATACGGAGTATAATTTATTTAGCTTTATTGAAAATATAAACAAGTACAAAGTGTTTCCCAAGTAGGAGCACTCTAGTCAAATTTTGGAAGAAACACCACCGAAAAAAACACCAGATTGACATGAATTTTGGTAGGGATTATGTAAAATCAGTGCCAAAAACACTTTTGATCGAGCTATTTGGCACGGAAAACATTTTGGATCGAGCTATTTCGTGCAAAAATTTTGTGTCAATCCCGTATTTTTTTTAGTTAAAACAATAGATACTCTTTTTTAGAAAACTTGTTACCCAGGAAATTCATATTGGGGGGTTCCAAATATTTTTTGAGGACGAAAATTATTTTTTGAAGGGGCAAAAATTATTTTTCTTATATATATACACTAAAAATAAATTTTGTTGGTGGGACGGTAACCCATGGAGCTATACTACACGCCCCTATATTACTTCGTATATGTTTTCTTACGGGTGGTTTTATTCCCAAAAGTGGAGTAAGTAGTACCATTGTCTTTGCCCGATTTTGCCTCTCTTTTCGGAAAGACTCATTCCATTTTCATCCCATTTTGTTTATTCCTTTTTTACATTTTGGATCGCGCGTCCTAAAATGTTCATTTCATATTTTCATTTAGTGGCTCGATCACAATTCACGACTAATATCACAAGTACAATTTTGTTTGTCCTTGATATTTGGGCCAAAATGGTTGTTTTAAAGTAAATGGTATTTATCATGCACATAAATGTACGAAAAAGATTGACTATCAGAACGATGCCCCTACGGAAATTTAATATTAACTTGTTTTGTCTTCTAAGAGCATACAGATTTTGGTCATAATACAATTTATCTTCTTATCAGTGCTAGTCAAATCAAACAGCATGCATTGAATAACAGATAAATACGACCTAATCAGAATGAATTTATGTATTTATCTTCAATGAATTAAGTAGCTCCTTTAATTTGTTCAAGAAGATAAGATAAAATCATACATTCATAAACGTTCTCTAATTCGTTTCATAGTCCAATAATGGATACCAACTTGGCAACTTACACGGTTACACCCGTCTTGTGTTCACCTCTTATATTCACAATTATACATGTAAGAGACTCCTTCCATATTTACAAATAGTAGGGTAATAAATAGTGTAGAAAAAATAGGAGATATTGTGTAAAAATATGAAAAAGAAGATAAAAGTAGAAAAAGTAAGGGTAGTTGAGTATTTTTACAAAAAAAATTACCAAAAAGGGAAAGTGTAGCAAACTTTTAAATATATTCCAAAATGGAAAGTCTAACAAACTTTAAAATACAGAGGGAGGATTACTTTTTTGTCTGCAAATATTATTCAAATATAAAATAGATATGTTTTTGTATGTGACAAACTAGAGCGGCTCTTAAATCGGTCACTTGTATAAATCTCCTTTTGAACCAATTTTGAAAACATAGCATTTTTTAAACAATCAAGTCTCCTACTCACAAACATCCATAAATCCTTTCTAGTAGTAGAGGATTTATATAATTTGTACTCACAAAGTGTTAGATGTAAGGATGTTTTCTTTTGGACTGTTTTCAGTTCCAGATCAGACCAGATCAGACCAGACTTAAACAGACCAGACCAGACTTAAACAGACTAGACCAGACTTAAACAGACCAAACCAGACCAGGCTTGGATAGTTATAAAATACACAAAGACCAGACGTTTACCAGACCAGACCAGACCAGATCAGTTCAGACCAGACCAGACTTAAACAGACCAGACCAGACCAGACCAGACCAGCATATTTCAGTCCAAAAGAAAACATCCTAAGACTGTATAGGCCTAAGTTGATGGATACCCTACTTATGTCACGTCTCCTACTCTCCTTGTCAAATTTAACACACATTATGATTTTCACACTCACATTAAAATGTATATATGGCAACTAAATTGAATTGAAAGTTACACTTGAACCAATATATAGTTTCTTATTGATTATTGATCATGATTATATACAATTACTGCCCCAAGCAAACATGTAAACTGCCCCGTGACAAAGAAAATTGTTCGATAATTCAGAAACGTACTGAATGTTACATAATTTTGTTATGAAGAGACTTTACATGGTTGGCAGGTAAACATAATAAGGATAGCACAACAAATTCAATATTTTGAGCAATATCAACAACGGTTGAGCAATTTGATAGGGGCAGAACAGGCACAAAACCGCATAAACAAGGCACTAGTGCTTATCACTCTTGGCGGTAATGACTTCGTCAACAACTACTTCTTAGTCCCTATTAGCGCTCGAAGTCTCCAGTTCACTATCCCAAAGTATTGCCGTTACCTCATCTCCGAATATCAAAAAGTTTTGTTGGTATGTTTTCTAATAGTACTACTCCATATTAATAATAAAGTTTAAAATATAGAGCCCGTTTGGTAGCACAAAAATCGGCTGTTTTGGCTGTTTCTGCTGAAATTTATGAAGTTCTGGCTGAAGTGGCTGTTTTGGCTGATTCTGCTGATTCTAGAAAAAAATATTTTAAAAATATATTTTATTAATAAAATAAAGAAAAAATTACATGTAAAAATAGCTAAAATGGTCATGTACAGTAACTTCAGCCAATACAGCCAGAAAAGTAACTTCAACCTTACTTTTTCTGCTTATTACCCAATTCAGCACGCGAAAGTAAAAATTACGTGTTTGGTGAAAAAGCTGGCTGATAAGCCTGATAAGCCGAAAAAAAGGGGTCTCCAAACGGGCTCATAGACTTCGCAATGGTCGAGCTGTTGAAATTAGTGTTAAAGGCTGGTGTGGTTTAAAACAGGGGATAACAAGAGCACTGGGCCAAACAACGATACTACAATGAATATTTTTTAATAAATATTTACATGAAATTTGTTTACACTAAAAATTGAGCCTTTTTGTAATTTGGGGTGAGATAGGACCCTCGGCTCCGGCTTCGCAAGTGCACGAAATTGAGAGGCTTTTTTCACCAAATGAAATTCAGAGGCTAATGTAAAAAGGACGCCCTTGTTTCCGTACATAGAGGTTATTAATTTTGACTACTACATCAAGGATAGCATGCAGTTCGTAAAAGCTCTTGACCAGACCAGACCAGACCAGACCAGACCAGACCAGATTAGATCAGACCAGACCAGACTTGATTTCCGTAGTTATAAAATACACAGAGACCAGACGTTTACCAGACCAAACCAGACCAGACCAAACCAGATCAGACCAGACCAGACTAGCAAATTTCAATCCAAAAGAAAACATCCTAAAACTACAAACTAGTTAGAAGCCCCAAATTAAAATTGGTTTCACTATTCTACAAAAAATAGATCGATATTAATATTACCAAACTTGTCATAAAGTATTTGTCCAACACCGGAAAGTTATAAAACAATAAAACACTATATAAGGCTTGAGCTACTCCACCTATCAGGTTAGATCTCTTAGGAAGGAACCTCGAGTTTTAACAAAGCCCAATAAGGTTTACCTTGCGGGATCAAATAAAAATAGTTTCTTGAATAAAAATTATTTAATCAACTATTGGGTTGTTGACTCATCAGAGACTATATGAGTTGGGGGCAAGAAGGGTGTTGGTGACAGGGACAGGCCCGTTGGGTTGTGCTCCGGCAGAGCTAGCTCAGAGAGGGAGGAATGGTGAATGTGCAGATGAACTTCAAAAATCCGCCGCAGTTTTCAATCCCCTTCTCATCCAAATGATTCAAAGCCTCAATCAAGACTTGGGCTCCACCGCCTTCGTCACCGTCAATGCTGTCCAAATGCAGAACGACTTCATCCACAATCCTCAGGCTTTTGGTATGTACATGCTCTTTCTTTGATGTTGCTAAAAAGCTCACACGCCAAACACGTGCCCCTCAGTTTCTCATAATTTTGTCAACTTTTTATATATATTATCTCACTAAAATTATCACTTTTCATTTTATATATAGATTTTGCGGTTCCTTTTCGTTCTCTATCATTTGCACAGACCTTAATCACACAGTTGTTAATTTATTATTTTATATACATAATGCATGTCAATTTGACAAAGTTATTAGGGAGTGTGAGAGTATTTATGTATTAAGGTTGGGTAACTGTTTTTTTGTGAATATGTTTCTATATGAAATGGGTTAAAAGCAAGTAAAAAGTAACACTACTTATGAATTCATATTTTTATTTGTTAAACTTGTTAAACTTTAACTGTGCGCCTTTATTTGTATTTTTCTTGTTGAACTTTGTTTTGTAACTTCTTATTTTTGATAAATTTGGAAATTATTCCCCGGTGCTTTCCCCACCCCAGGTGGCCTCTTCGGCATTAAAAGAAAAGTAACACTAGTTTTGTCTTGTGATGTAACCATTACAAAGTTTCTTTTATGAAAATGAAAATTTCATTTTGGAAACACAAACAAAGAAAAGTGGGAATTTGAATTGTTTTTTAGGAGATACGTAGTGCATGTGTAGCAACTCTCTCCAATAAGTGATCATATGAACCATCATACTACTGCGTATATAGGGGGTGCTTGGATCTGATTCTCAAAACTGATTCTGCTCCTTCAGGAAGCAGAAGCAGAAGCTGGAGTGTTTGGGTGAAATTTCAGAAACACTTCTGGTGCTCTAATTTACTCTCAGAATCAGTTTTTTTAGAAGCTGGGGGACACCAGCTTCTGAAAACTGATTCTGATTCTGCTTCTGCTTTAAAGCAGAATCAGCATCACTTCCAAACACCCCCTAAGTTTCACATACTAACTCTCTCCAATAAGTGATCATATGAACCATCATACTACGTATATAAGTTTCACATACTACTTCAATTGACTCTCCCATGAAATTATTCAATCTATTCAGAACCTTTGTACGTGGGATATTTTTTAAAAAAGAAGGGAAAACTATCAAATAAGCCTCCTAACTTTTCAAAAAAATCAATTAAGCCCTCCAACTGAAAGTTCATCCAATTACACCCCTAAACTCATTTAAAAATGACAAATCTTCTTTTTAGTCCGTATCCTATCAATTTCTCCAGTTAATTGGGTATGGGGTGAGTGAGGTGGCATTTTTTTCTTTCCTTTTCTTTTTCTTTCCTTCGTGACCCCTTTTCTTCTTCCGCCTTCTTCCTTACGCTTCACCATCTCGGCAACTCTGCAAGACTGCAACTTCTTCCTTCTTTACCTTTTTCTTTCTCTATTTTCTTCTTCCACCTAGCTTTTTGCTAGTAGTTTCCAGACCTTCACACTCCTCCCTGTGCCTCTTTTCTACTGTTGACGAGGTCTACAGTCAAATTGAAGCTATGGATCTGGAGTGGTATGGGGGCTTCACAGAAGCATCTTCTCCTTACTTCGCGCTATAGCCAACTTGCTGACCCAGAAGCTTCGACAGAGCATCGTCTCCGACTTCCAATCCATCAAATCGAGGAAAAGAGATGACCGGCGTGCGATGTACCTGAGCATCTCCGGCGACCTGGGTTTCTCTCAGATTCTGAGCGGTGTTGCACCGGCGGAAGACTAATACTTTGCTTGGAAGAAGAAGAAAGAAGAAAGGGGGAGAAGAAAGATGGGTGGAAGGAGAAGAAAATGGAAGAAAACAAAGGGGTGAAGGGGATGTTCGCTGGAATGGAAAGGACCTGTGGAATGAGAAAGAAGGTGGAGGTAAGGAAAAAAAAAGAGGAAATAAAAAAAGAAAATGAAAAATTTGAAAATAGCCACATGTCTGGCCACGTGTACGTAAAAACTGGCAACCTATTCATCACCGGCCAAAACGAAAATTTGACATTTTTAACTGAGTTTGGGGGCTCGATTGGACAAACTTTTAGTAAAGGGGCTTAATTGATTTTTTTGAAAAGTTGAGGGGCTTATTTGATAGTTTTTCCTAAAAAGAAAAATATTTATGGCAAACACTAAACTGAAAAAACCTATTTAAATCGGAAGAATTGAAGATTAGAACATATTTAAACAAAAACTACTTCAAATCAAATCATACTATATATGATTGTAAAAATATAATGCATATAAATGTAGGCCAATCAGCAGATTATAAAAAGTTTAGACTTGACTTAAATACATAGTTCAAACCATATTAGACTTGAAAAGAAAAGAATATACCAATTCAAAACATTTCGATAAAACAAGTAAACTTTAGTGAAAGTAAACAAAATCTTGTTCTTTTATTATAATGACGGGTTGTGATGAAAACAGGTTTTACAGAGTCAAAGGTGGCGTGTTGTGGACAAGGCCCATATAATGGGATTGGACTTTGCACACTTGCATCAAATTTGTGCTCAAATAGAGATGCTTATGTATTTTGGGATCCCTTTCATCCATCAGAAAAGGCAAATTGGGTGATTACTCAATCCATTTTGACAGGAACTAATAAGTACATGATACCAATGAACTTGAGCACCATTATGGAAATCGATTCGTTTGATGTGTGATACCAGCCCTCTATATGCCCTTCGTGGTCCCGGCTTTCCAGTTTAGCTCCAAATGTATTACATGTGCATAAATTAATATGTGTCCATGCTTCTATAATATGTTAATTATAATACATTCCATTGTTTCCGATTATGCATTAATTAAACCTCAGGTGAGCTTCAAAGTAAAAAAAGTAAAAAAAATAAAGTGTACAACGCATAGTTTTAGAATTTTACATCTTGGTGTTGTGATTGTTAGCAACATATATTTACATTGTTAAGAAAATAAATTATATATGCATATGTAAAATGACATCTAATTATGCAAATATACTTGTTTCATTCAACATTGATTTGATTATTTGAGTTGTATGTTAATCTTTATTTGACGTGTACGATTTGATTTTGTGCATTGCTTTTTGTGTCATTGTTAAATACTTCTCATGTAGACTAAGAGCATATCTTTAATGCAAGGCTGTCAACATTAACAAAAATATGACATATGTCAATATATTATTGCAGTGTTTAGCCATGTATGAAGAATGTCAAAACTCATGTTCCAACACATTGATAAAACAGCAAAATGCTCTCCAATGGGAAACTAAATAAAGCACCCAAATGTTCTCCACGTTGCAACTGATTGCACTAATGGAACATTTCGAATTCAATTAAAATAACGAATTGCTCTCCACGTTGCACAGTCAGCATGTAAACACCGCTGTTAAATGAAGACTACCATGTTAAAAATGTCAAAATAATTTTTTGACATATCAGCACAACACGCACGTTAACATCCTGCCTTGGAGATCAACTTTTTACTCTAATGTTAAAAACGGATGACGTAACCCATTTTTGTAATGTCAACAGCCTCCCATTAAAGATGCTCTAAGCTTAAGGGCTACTCAAAGAAGCTTATTGTCTAGCAATCTAAGTCTACACTTGCAAAATGAATTATTTAATCACATATATGTTCTTGAACAGTCAAAGTTTATATCTCGCCGTTGTAGTTTAAGTTATAAGACAAACCAATAATCTAGCATTTCGATTCACTATATATTATACTAATATGAGTTAATTTTACATTCATTGTTCATATATATCGAGTAAATTGAGCATTATATTATATACAATTGTTAAGACTTGAACTTTCATTCTATAAGGTTAGTTTGATAGGAGAAGAAGTCCATAATTGTATATACTGTAATTATTGTTTTAAAGCAAATTGGGTTTGGCAGTGTGGGACAATACTTTAACACGCCCCTACAGTCCAAACCGAACAGGACAATATCAAGGTATATAAATGAAGTTCCACCCATAACACCTTGCCCCATAAGGCCCGAGGTAGTTACTCTTGAATATCATCTAGACATCTAGTACTGTCCTCAGAAACAAACACAAGCCTTTAACACTCACTTTGTTTTCACTAATGCGAGTCCTAAGAAACTTTCCAGGAGGTCACTCATCTCTACACTAGCCTACTCCAATGCAGGCAAGCTAACTTAGAGTTCTTAATGCATAAGCTCCCTTAAAAGGAGATGCACTTTTTTTATATCTATAGTACTATTGATGTAACACCGTCCCCAATTATATTTACTTTTGAGTAATTAATGTATGGAACCTTATGGAATGATTAATGAATTTACGAAGTTGTAAATTTTTATTAATTCTTTTGCGTGAATAGTAAATTTGCACGTGGGGCCCACACCGGGAGCGGGGGGCGCCCGCCCGGTATTCCCGAGACCACATATTTTATTCGTATTGGTTGAGATAATATTTATATAGTGGTGGACATGTTAGTTGGGCCAAGGAAAGGGCACAATGTTGACTGATTGGTCAAACTAGGCCCAATTATCGGTATTGGTAATTTAACAGATAACAGCCCAAACTGAATTACTGAGGCTTATAAATTAAAGTTGGGGAATGTAAATTCATTATAAATGTCATAATGATTAAGAACACATAATATATTTTATTTGACCCAATAAAATAAAATATATTTAAAACATTCCGAAAAATGCAGGTTTCGGGACCGATTGTACACTTCTGGACAAAAAGGCGTGACCTCCCACATGGGTGGGGGCCAACCCACGAAATTAGCAGCCAATGAGGGCTTATGGGCTTCAAAAATTGGCTGAAAGATTTTGAAGGGGTGGGGGAGACACCTATGAGTCTATGACATTCAAAGGGGTCCTCTCACTCATAATTTCCAAAAGTAACAAAAACAGAAGTACATCCCCTCATTCCTCACCTAATATTTCGGCCAGCACCAAGAAAGGATAGAGATAGAGCTCTGCATCTCCATACTCCATAGCCAAGAACAAGCTCAAGCAAGAAGGTCTAAGGAGGAAATCTGAAGAAGGAAAAAAGGGAGGAAAAGTGAGGTGTATTAAGGTAATGACATCATAATGATTTTCCCTTCATTTTTAATCACCATATGGATTATATAGCATATGAGTAACTCCTTTTATGGTTCTACATATTTACATAGGTAGATAGATGGGTTGGAGGGTGATTCATAGTCCAAGAACGGACTTGTAGTCAAAATTACCGTTTCGCCGGAAAATAACCTTTTAGAGGTTATTTGTATTAATATGGGGTTTATGATTATAAAACCTTGTTAGGAACTTGTTTAAGGTGTTTCAAGTGCTTTCACGAAGTTGAAAGAATCGCCAGAGTTGTCGCCGGAGTTTGTCAAAAGTCGCCGAAGTTCAACAAAGAGTGGTAGAACTTCATGGGGCTAATTCGAGGTGAGGATGAGCAACTATATTGCTTATAATTATTGTGTTAATTTCATAAGATTACCTAAATGAATTAAATGTATTTTGAATGGATTATTAATGATTAATAATGCCTAAATGGAATTATTATTGTTTATAAGTAAAGGATGCATAATATACAAATTTATGAATGAATGGTGTATAATGATGTGTTAAGAATATGATGGCACGATAGTTGTATTAACCATGAATTTTATTGTGATAAATATACCTTTACCTCATGTAAAGGAATCATGAAGGGATAAAAGTGATATTTTGATATTAAAGCTAAATTATACTTGGATGAAGAATTTAATTTGAAATAAACAAAGTACTATGAATTAAGAACTTGGTTGTATTAAGGTCAAACGACTAGTATTGAAATACTAGTCGGGAATGTTATTTCGAATAATCTTGGAATAAATCCTAAGATATTGAACTGTGGCGAGTACACCCTAAGTAATCTTAAGGGATATTTTTAAGGTGGACTTTATGAACTCCAAGTTACATTAGAAGTAGGCCTTAAGGGCTGCTCAAAATGAATGGAGTCAAGGGCGTAGCTAGGATTGAAGGTTGGGCTCGGTCGGTACAAAGAATTTTTCAGATAATTTGTTTTCCACCTAAATTTTTACACTAAAAATACAAAGAATTTTCAAATTTGGGGCGGGCCGTGGCCCGGTTGGCCACCCCTCTACCTCCGCCCATGAATGGAGTCTAGGCTATGAGCCGAGCTCTAGCTTTATGTAGTATGACTATGAGCCGAGCTCTAGCTTTATGTAGTATGACTATGAGCCAAGCTTTAGCTTTATGTAGTATGACTATGAGTCGAGCTCTAGCTTTATGTGGTATGACTATGAGCCGAGCTCTAGCATGAAAGGTGTGTGACTAAGAGCAGGGCTCTAACGCGCGAAACGATATTAAATGAACGTGGGTTAATTATAATGTAATAACACCCTAGATTGAGGGTCTTAGAAGTTGAAACATCGATTATACTTAGTATAGTTGTCATTGTACTTTTCAAATGCTTCAAAGTACTGACCTCCCCTTCATGGGGGGGCCACGTCTCAGTTTCAGGTGGAACTTGAAGGTTGCTACCATTGCTGTTGCTTCGTAAGGATTCAAGGAGAGAAGACATGGTTCGTGCTTCCTCTGTTTCTGTTTTAAAAACAATTATATTTAATGCTCATGGATATTGTCTTTTGAATAATGATTTTGAGGGCTTGCATGCCTAATTTGCCAAGTGTGGCTAAACACTTGTATTAAATGTTTCCGCTGTTTTAATGAATAATTTACATTATGTTTGTTTATGGATGTATAATATGGATGAGTTGGACTGCGGTTGTCTATTCGTACTGTACTGCGGGTTGTTGACATGCCCGGTGTTGGGAAAATGTGTTGAAATTGCATTAAATGGTAATTTTGGAGCAATTTTTTGAATGGTGTCCACTTCTGAATTGGGTCAGGTCAAAGTGGTTTCAGATTGTCCTTGCTTAGGGCTACAATTTGATATATTGTACGCTCAAAACGGATAACGGGTGAATGAGAAATTGATTCTCGAAGTTTCTAGTGTGTTATTTCCCACACCGGAAAACCCAAGGGATTTGCAACCCTTTATAAAGGGACTCCGCCCTTAAGGAGTCAAGATTCCTAAGGGTAAAGGCTCTCTCCACGTGCGCAAAGGGGGTGCAAATCAAATCCCGAAATCGGACATGAAAAACCGCGACTTGCGTGCGAGGGCGACCTGCGGACACGAATGTCGTCCAAAAATCTATCTCTCAAGAGATACGGTTTAATTTTTGTTTTCTTCCCGAAACCTACGAAATAGAACACCTCGTTGGTGTTCTGATGGCCTCGTGACAGAACCCCTCATGGGGTCTTCTGATGGCTTCAAACAGAACACCTCGTACGGTGTTCTGTTGGGTGGTCTTCTGGTCGCTCAGTTGGACATTCTAAACCGTTACAACGATAAATGCCCAGCGTTCTTATCTTTTAATGCAGCATTAAATGGACAGTTCATGGACAATTCAATGCCCAACGGACTGGTCATTGATGTCCAATGTTCAGGTCCATTAATTCACCATTTACACACAACAAATCCTCCTATATAATGACTGGCAGGTGGTTTACAAAAACACACGGACTTATACGATCTTACACGTTCTCACATACACTAGCTCACGTATTTCTTCGGCTAAAAACACCTCCAGTTACCTCTGAAAATTTCCTGAGTGTTCAGCCTTTGTTCTCGTTCGCTGGAACTTTTGTTTGCTGCTCAAACACTAGTTCGTAGTCATCGTATTCTGGGAAACAATTGTTGCAACGTTCCTAGCATCGTGCGAGGCAACAAATACGTTTTAAGGACACCGTGCGTAGCACGAGCTTTGGCTAAATTCCGCTCCATCTCATTTCTTGTTTTTCTTTAGTCATTTTAATTAATTTATTTTAATTAATTTTCTTTATTTTCCGAAACACACCCAACATCCGGAATGGGTCCGGGGCATGACAATTGATCCATTTAAATTAATCTCAAGTTTTACAATCACCCCATGTAACACCGGACCCGAATTTTACCCATAGATTTTTTTTCCATATAGTACAAAGTTAATGAAAGTAAATCAAGATTAAGAATAGTCTTGTTTAACAAGAAAGATAAAATTCTAGTCTTAAATTAATAAAAGATTATTAATCAGACGTGGGACCCACGTAGAGGAGTAGGTGTAGAACCACCTCCGAAAATGTTCACTTATAACGTTGGGTAAATTAGAGTTGACACCTTGATAAAAGGTGCGGTAAATTTATTTTTACTGATTAACATTTATCGGGTAGTAAAACTACACGTAGGACACACATCAGGAGCGGGGACCACTCGTGGTATTCAAATTGTATAAGATATTAATGTTGATCTAAATAACATTATTATTATAGTAGATATGGGTCGTAAACCCCAGTGATATAAAGAACGACAACTAGACGGCCAAGCGGGCCGGAGTCACTAATCGATAATTGTGCGTCCTTAATTATCGGACTGATAATAATTTGGAAGGCTAAGAATTAATAACATAAGAAATACTCCGTATAAATATTTTAAGAACCCAAAATAATGAGATGAATAATAATGAGTAACTTGACATATTGGAGGAAAGTACTTTTGGAGGACCCTACCTTGAAGATATTTTTGTACAAGGATAAACAGATAAGATTTTAAATGTTCATACATTTCGGACCACTTAAAAAGAAGTGTAACATTTTACTAAAGTGTCACAAAATATGAAACCACACATTAATTCATGCGAAATGACGAGTGAATTTTCGAGGCAATGCGTTTTCAGTTTTACTGTTACTTGAACAGTAAAATACACATTGGGCCCACGCATGGGTGGGGACCATATGATATTTACGGACCACATATTATATTCATCTTGGTCTAGATGATATTTATATGATGGCGTAAATTAAAGTTGAGCCATGAAGTTGACGTTTCAATTAAACGAGGTCCCATTATCAGTATAAGTAATTAAACAGATAACAAGCCGAAATGAATTCCGATGATCATGAAATTAAAGTTGAGTAATATATATTCATTTTAGAGGCCAATATTAATTGGAAAAATGATATATATTCTATTTGACCTGATAAATAAAAATATAATTAAAACAGTATAGAAAATACAACTTTCGGAACCAAATGTACATTTTGGGACTTAAAGGGATGACCTCCCACATGAGTGGGGGCCACCCCACAACTTTGTACATCCAAATGAGCTTGAGAAGCTGCATAATAAGAGAGAGGGGGTGCATTTAGTCTCAAGTTGAAAGGTTGGGTGAGAGGGTGACTTGAGGTGGACCTCCCCTCACATTGATTGGCAAAGGAGACAAAGGAAGTCTCCTCACCTCTCCCCACTCCATTATTTCGGCCAGCACCATCAAGAGAGGGAGAAGAACCTCCAAACATACCTCCATAGACAAGAAAAACGAGCTCAAGCAAGGGCATGGTCCAAGGAAGAAGAAAAGTGAGGAAAAACCTTGATATATTAAGGTAATGATTTCATTAACATTTTTCATCCTTCATTTAACCTCATATGATTTTATAAATCATATGATAGACCCATATGATTGTTCTACATTCTTAGAGGTGTAGAATGAGGGATTAAGAGGTTAGTTTTAACCATGAACAGAGTTATGACCGGTGTAAGACCGGTTCGTCAGAAAATAACCTTTTAGAGGTTATTTGTGTTGATATGGATTTTGTAATGTTAAAACCTTGTTAGGAACTTGTCAAAGGTATTCCTAGATCTTCCACGAAGTTGGAAGATTCACCGGAGTTATCGCCGGAGTTCAACCGAGAAGAGTATAACGTGTTAAAGCTCATTCGAGGTGAGTGGACGACTACATGTCTTGTAATTCTTGGGTCAAACATGAGATTACCTAAATAAAATCATAATCATGATTTGAGAAATGATTAAATGAATTAAAATGCATGATTAGTCATGGTGAATATTTAATATGAAAGTATTATATGGTTAATGAATAAGAGATTAATTTGTGGATTAATCATGGATATATTATTGTCAAGTGTGTAAAAATGCGTACTTGGACTATGTATGAGACTAACTAGTATAATCTAGTATGTGAGTATGTATAAAAATGTTTAAAAGTGTTAAACATGTGATTAACCATATTGATTATAAATTAAGTGAAAGTTGCATGATTTAATAGTAAAGAATTACAAATATTATTGATGAAGAATAATCATGAATGATAATTTGGGAAAGGACTAAGGAAATTCAAGATGGTATTCTTGTGAAGGATTCAAGTATTAAATCATGCAAGTCACTAAAGTAAAATCTAGTTTATGAGAAATAAACTAGGGAATTATACAAAATATAATTAACTAATATAAATGTTTTTGTTGGCTCATATGAGAAATGACCAAAGTAACTAACATACTATTCTTGTGAAGAATTAAGAAATGCTCAAGTATGGATGCTACGAAGATGAACTAGATTATGAGAAATAAACTAGGGTAATATACAAAAATGATTAACTAGTATCAATGACTTAGTTAATAATTTTGTGAATATAATATTCTAATTGAATGATGAACCATGAGTGGCTCAATTTGTGAAGTGATTAAAAGTAAGTCAAGGTTATATCCTTTTTTAGATGCAAAGCAGAATTCTCATTCAAACCAATTGCATATCCATAAGGTGTTCAATTATTGAATGTAGCTTTTTGACAAACACTTTGTGGGCATAAAATGCATATAGTGTACAGGGAATTCGATGAATGAAGTGTGTGATGGGAAATTGAATTAACAGTGACCAGAACGAACGATTACGGTCCGTAGTAACCAAAATGAAAATAATAATAATTTAGTATGTACCTTGTTCATAGAGTAGCAGCAAGACCAAACAAGATGTGTGGAGTATCGGATAAGAATTGAAAGCGGATGTGCGAGCGTGAGAATGAAACATATACGGTTTATTTAAGTCTTGAATATTTTTTTGGGCGAGGGGAAGGGAAGTAACCGCCAGCACTTGTTCAGTGAAAGGTTGAAGGGAAGAGTTGAATTTGGCTTTAGAAATGTGACGGAAAAAGAGTTGGGAAGGTGACTCTTATTATATAAATAAGGACAGATATATATCATTTAATTGTGTTACTTTTATTTTGTGATATGTCAAATTTTAGTATTTCATTATATTTCAATGCTATTTTAATACAATAAACAAATGAAGTAAAAGAAAAGAAAACAAAAAATGAAATCCCAAAGAATTGCAGCAGGGCTGCGTTTCAAAATTCTGAAAACAAAAAAAGTACTACCTATAAAAAAAGTGCAGCCTAAAAACAAAAAAGAAAAAAAGGTAAGCAAATACAGAGTAAAATGGAAAAAAGAAAGAGAGGAGAAAGCTATTAACAGAGTAACAGCGGCATATTGATAAGGTATTAAGGTCAAGGCTGGATGTTACATTTAGATTGGTACTAACAGCGGCATAATGTTGTTTCAATTACTTTGAAAAGTAAAGCATCACTGTTTAGATTAGTCAAAAGAAAAGCAAAAAAAATAACAGTCCACAAAATAGTGTTTCACAGACGGAGGCATTGACGGAAATATGACTGGAGCTTCAGGGGTGACAAGAACACATACCCCTACTCTTACACTCCGGCGAACACTAAACCAAAATAAAGACTGAACAAGATTACAGCCCAAATCAGATTACTCAAAAAATGGCCTTCACAATGTCTGGATATCTCCACCCCCACCAAATCATCCCACAGGTAGCCAAGATCAAAGCATAACCATTGAAAGTGTTTATGTGCTGCTCATTCTTCCCAAGAAATTTCAGCATGACTTCAGTAGCACCATACAGAGCAAGTGCTACAGCCAGAGTGTTGGCACAAAATGACATCCCAACATCTAGCATCTTGATCTTTGAAACCAAAGGCTCTTCAACATTTATAGAGTGTTCCTTCTTCTCTATAGAAACATCAAGCCTAGGTCTTAAACAGAAAATGAGATTAAGAAAATGAAAGAAATGTTGGAAAATATTACGTTTAAATGCCCTTGGATCATTTGTCACGCCCCGGACCGCATCCGTGCCACGTAGACAACCGCCGTACAACCCAATAAGAACAACGTAGTTCATTCTTATCAAATCATACAAGGCGTCCGATAGATTCTATTGCCAAACCGATTAGTAAACCCATACAATCAACATCAATATATAAATCAAACAAATGCGGAAATAAAATATGTTTGACATTTAGCCACACGTGGCAAACATGAGCACGCAGGCCCTTCAATAGTTTAATAGAAAACCTCGTTCAAATATCCATGAGCAATTTCATAATTTCAAATAAGAATGGAAGCACGAACCACGTCTTCCTTATTTGAATTCACCCTGGGCAAAGGTGCAGGTAGCAGGACTCTAGCCTCAACCTGAAAAATGTGAGGGCCCCCGAAGGGGTCAGTACTCCATAGAAGTACTAGTGACAAGCAGGCTATATGAGGAATAACTAATGTCTCAGACACGAGACCCAAAAATAGGATGGTACATATATTTATAGGTGTAACCATTGTCACCCCATTCCCAAGATAATACATAGTGTATATACTTGTAAAATACTTGACCCGTAGGTCATTTTCTCACAAAAGAGTCTTTTAGAGACAAGGTACTCACTCAACCTTTCCCCTTTCATTCCTGAATGCCTAGCTTAAGAGCTACATTCTACCTTCATAATATCCTACCGAGTTTCAGGAGTGTTAACCCTCCCGGGGATACTCAACCCCAACCGAGTTTTGGGATCATTTACCGTCCCGAGGATGCTCAACCTCAACCGAGTTTTAGGATCATTTACCGTCCCGAGGATGCTCAACCTCAACCGAGTTTTAGGATCATTTACCGTCCCGAGGATGCTCAACCTCAACCGAGTTTTAGGATCATTTACCGTCCCGAGGATGCTCAACCTCAACCGAGTTTTAGGATCATTTACCGTCCCGAGGATACTCAACCTCAACCTTATTTCTAACCAAACCCTAACCCGGATATGGCTAACCTTGCATTCACTTAACTATGGACAATACCTAGTCCTATAGTCATATAATAATCCTTAGTAACCAACGTGGACGGGTCCCACCTGATCGATCCACGTTAACCCACTCAAAAACTACCCGTTTTGAGTATAACCCAATACTCGATCGAGTACCCATCAATACTCGGTCGAGTACAGGAGACAGGAGCCCGTAAGGCTAATTTCCAAGGCATACTCGATCGAGTATCTATCCATACTCGATCGGGTATAGGAGACAGCGGCCCTTGGGGCAAATTTTTCAGCAGACACCCGGTCGGGTATTGTCGTTGACTTGGCGGTCAACGCCCGTTTGACCGCCCAAACGGAGTCCGATTAACGTGAAATTTTACATGAATATTCTACTTGAAGTCCTTGATCCAAAAATACCATTTTTGACCCCTGGATCATTGTACATAATAAGTTATCACATTTTTAATCACCAAACATACAAAACATGCCTTTCAACTTTGTTTTATATATAATCATGGCATAAGCCCATACTTGATTAACTTTAATCATTCCGTAAAACATATCCTTGATTACTTTAGGTAATCTCATGCCTCAATCAAAAGTTATAAAGCATATAGCCGTCTTCTCACCTTAATGAAGCTTATGAAGTTCTAGCCTCTCCGATTTGGCCCCGGTGAAACTCCGGTGAACTTCAACGAACTCCGGCAACAACTCCGGCGACCCTTTCAACTCCGTGAAGGTTCTTGAAATACCTTATACAAGTTAATAACAAGGTTTTATCATCATAAAACCCCTATCAATACAAATAACCTCTAAAAGGTTACTTTTCCGGTGAACCCGTCAACTTTGCTCTCAAAGTTCGTTTTGGGTATAGACCAACCCTCCAACTCCCATTCTACACTTTTTCATGTGTAGAACCATTCTAGGAGTATGAAATAAGATTATATAGTCATATGAGAAGATTAAGGGAAAGGAATGAGGTTAATGGAGTCATTACCTTGTTAATCCCCAAGTCTCCTCCTCTCTTCTTTTCTCCTTCTTTCTTCCTCCTTCTTCTTGAGCTTGGTTCGAATGGAAGAGGTGGAGATAGTATTTTGCAGAGCTCCTCTCTCAAAAATGGATGGTAAGGTCGAAGGTTGATGGGCAAGGGGAAGGATATGGCCTCATTTTGGCTTATTATTCAATAATGGCAAAACCATGGCCCTCCATTGTCCTTTGATGCTATATCACTCAAGTCAACCCCTTCCATCCCCCTTCCCTCACTCCAGCCGCCCACCTCCTTCCTTTGTCTCAAATAATTACGTGGGGTGGCCCCCACATATGTGGGAGGTCATCCCTTTGTGTCCCCAAGTGTATACTCGGTCCCGAAAGTTTTTCCGGACTGTTTAAACTATATTTCATTTTATCGGGTCAAATGAAATATATATAATCCTTCCAATTATTATTGGCAAATAGAATGGGTGTATATCCCCCAACTTTTAATTTAATGGTCTCCATAATTTATTATGGCTTTTTATCTGATGTTACTTCGGTACCGATAAATGAGCTTTATATGCCCAAATGGTTACTCACATGATTTCTATGACCCAAAAAGGGTATCCACCCTCATACACATATTATCTTGGTCCAAACGAATATGATATGTGGTCCCGATACAATCGGGCGGCCCCCACTTCCGGTGTGGGCCCCACGTGAAATTTACTATTCACGTAACAGAAATGATAAAAATTCACAATCACGTAAAATGCGTTTATTCATTTCTTGGGTTCAATACATAATTTGATAAAGTACAAATACTTGGGGGCGGTGTTACATCATTTATATAATTTAATAAATATTGCGGACATTTATGTCTTACCATTAAGTTTGCCATATGACAGATTTGGTCTCTTTATTTATGTATAGTTAACATATGATGGGTATGTTTTAACATTAAATAATACATAAGGGGCGAATTGGTTTTCTATTTGATACAAGTTAAGAAACACCCGTTCGTTCATTCTTACGACTAAGAGGGAAGTACACGTTTCTTCTCAAAGGGTCTCAAGAACACCTATATGAAGAGACCTAAGGGAGATTGTTTAATCCATCGCAAATCCGCTTGTATCCTTAGAGAATCCAACGACATCATGGCTTCATCATCTTCGCCATCAAAGTTTGGTTTCTCCTCAATCAGTTAGTGTTCTTATTGTTTGATTAGAATCCCTCCGTCCCAATTTGTTTTGCAAAGTCAACATTTTTCGGTCAACCAATAATAAAAGCCAATCCTCCCTATTGATAATTAATTCAATTTTTAATAAGTGAAATTTACATATTCATAAACTACATTAAAATCTCTTCAAAGTTGTAAACTCCATATTAGAATATAATTAAAAATTGAAATCTTAATCAAGCGAACAAAACGAAACTGTTTGACCAAGAAAAGTCAAATTTGCAAATCATTTTGGGACGGAGGTAGTATGAATTTTATCATGTTTAGTGAGACTAGATCCTTAATTGGGACTGAATTTATCTACATTTGGTATCAGAGCCATGTTAATTCTCACTTCTATTGATAAAATTTGTCGTTATCAATCTGCCATAACTGATTTCCAGCGGCCGTTCTTTTTTTTTCCTTCTTTCTGCCAGGTTTGTAAACTGTTGTTACTGCTACTTGTAAACAACATGAATCCTCAATCATTATGTTATGTTGTTGTATAATTGCCGACACCCATACATAAATACGGAGTAATTGATTTTGTTAAAGTGATGTTTCTGAGAGTGTCTTAATTTTTCGTATGCATTAGAGCCAAAATATGGCAGATTCCTTGTTGCTTGCTATTCGTCTATGCATTAAAATGGATTAAGTGTAGACTCCACAAAATATGTTTTGACATCCTCGATCAATGCGATACATTCATTATTTAGGCTTCTAAAACTGATTCGGAATAACTAATATTCAGTTTTTTTATGTCAATTTGGAAATCGTATGGATTTGTTCCTTTAAAATTCCTGTTTGTTTTCATCCAAAGTAAACACTCGTTTAAGGACTATCGAATTATTTTGGTTCCTTAATCAACATGTGTGCGCTTTTCGTTTGTTTAAAATTGGACTAAGTCAATCTGTCTCTTTTTCACAATCTGAAACACATTAGTTTTGTGTTAAATCTGTCAAATTTCAGAATGAACCGTATACTGTTTTAGACGCAGTGTAACTCACTTGAAGTGTTTATATGCAAACTGCAATTTAATTATGAACATTTGTAAGCCATCAGTTTGTTATACACGTTAGTTGAAAGTATGGGGTTTTTCTTTCTTTCCGTTAATTTTCCAGAATTTGGAATACACTCATTGGAAACTTACAGATTCGATCATTTCCAAAATGCTTAAAGTAAGGTCTATGATTTAGGGCTAATATTACAGCAAATTCATATTTGCTTCCATATTCAAAGTTTTACTATGGATTATTAACTAATTATCTTAGTGTCAAATTCAATAATCGGCTCAACGGAAGATTATTGATTTTGACTATCTTAAACAATTATATGAGTTTTCTTTTAACAAACCCAAAGGTGTGTTATTTGATAACTTATGTAATGCAATTTAAGCATAAATGAATGTGTTATATTTCTGCCCAAAGGTGATATATGACATATTTGCAGCCTAATTTTAATATCATAATGTTTGATAGTTGGCATTAGCCAACGCAATGTTAGTTATTAAACACGATATGAATTTTCCTATTATTTGGTGTTGATAATAGGCTTATTTACTAATAGTTGACTTGCCTTATTGTATACCCTTATATGTTATAAATAGCTTCTATTATTGCCTCTGTTAAACCTTTTATTTCAGCATCTACTGTTACCCCATACAATATGGGATAGAACCTCTAAATGGTACAAACTTTTCAACATGGAGAGAATCTGTAAAACTATCACTTGGCATGATGGACCTCCACCAAGCGCTAAGAATTGATCCACCAGATGTTCCTAACGTCGAACGCACTGTTGAGCAGAAGCGTTCTTATGAACAGTGGGAGAGGTCCGACCGAATGTGCCTAATGGTGATTAAGAATTCCATATCAGTAGCTATTCGCGGAGTGATTCCCGACTCTGAAAATGCGAAAACCTACCTAGAATATGTGGAAGAACAGTTTAAGGGAACCTCTAAAGCACATGCTAGTACCCTGATTCTCAAAATGTTGACTAATAAGTACGATGGAGTGAGTGGTATTCGTGAGCACATCATGATAATGTCTGATATGTCTAACAAGCTCAAAAGCATGGACATGGAGATCAGTGAAGGTTTTCTCGTTCATTTCATAATGACTTCTCTACCTGCGTCTTATGGTCCGTTCAAGATCAGTTACAACACGCAGAAAGAGAAGTGGACAATGAGTGAGCTGATTGCTATGAGCGTTCAAGAAGAAGAGTGCCTAAAATTTGAAAAACCAAACGTTGCTCATTTCACGACCACAAACTCAAAGAAGAGGAAAGGCAACCGTCAAGGAGGAAAAGGTAACATTTCTTAGGTCCCAAAGATAGGTGCAAATGTGAGCTCTGGTCCCTACTGTAAGTTTTGTCGCTTCAATGGACATTACCAGAGAGAATGCCCTAAGTTTAAGGCATGGCTGACTAAGAAAGGTAATTTAACCACCTATGTAATTTATGAGTCATTGAACACATCAGTTCCCCTTAATACTTGGTGGATTGACTCTGGTTCAATGGTTCATGTTTCAAACACACTACAGGGATTCCATTCAATCCGGACATTGGGAAGAAAGCAAAGAGTGATTAAGGTGGGCAATGGAGAAGAATTAGAAGTGGAGGCCATTGGAACTATCTCATTAATTTTAGAGTGGCTTCATTCTTCATCTTCGTGATGCTCTTTATGTACCTAATATTACTCGTAATTTAGTGTCTGTATCGAAACTAAGTGCTGATGGCTTTAGATTTAATTTCGAATACAATAAAGTGACAATAAGCTTGAACTTAAATGTAATAGGATTTGGTAGCATGGAGGGAAACCTCTATAAATTGTGCTTAGACACTAATTTTATGGAATCCCCATTGTCATTTAATATAACTGAAAACCCTTGCAAGAGAAAGAGAGAATTGGAATCATCGTCCAATTTGCGGCATCAAAGGTTGGGCCACATATCACGAGATCGAATGATAAGACTCGTGAAAGACGCCATTCTTCCAAATCTTGACTTCTCGTATTATGACAAATGTGTGAAGTGTTTGAAATGGAAATTATCTCAGAAAACTAAGCAAGGCGCCACACGAAGCACCTTTTTGTTAGAATTAATACACACCGATATTTGTGGACCTTTTCCCGATTCCATTAATGGTTATAACTCCTTTATTACTTTCATAGATGATTACTCACGCTATATGTACCTATATTTGATTAAGGAAAAATCTGAATCACTAGATATGTTCAAGGCTTATAAAGCCGAAGTTGAAAATCAACTTGATCGAAAGATCAAAGTAGTGAGATCGGATAGGGGTGGTGAGTTCTACGGTCGACACACTGATATTGGTCAAGCTCTCGGCTCTTTCCATGAAATTTGTAAAGATCACGGGATTATCAACCAATATACCATGCCTGGAACCCCTCAACAAAATGGGGTTGCCGAAAGGCGGAATAGGACTCTTATGGATATGGTCCGAAGTATGTTGGCTAACTCAAATCTTCCCCAATTCTTATGGACCGAGTCCCTTAAAACAGCAACCCACATATTGAATAGAGTACCATCTAAAATTGTCCTTAAGACTCCATATGAGTTATGGACGGGAAGGAAACCTAGCCTACGGTACCTAAAAGTGTGGGTTTGTCCGGCTAAAGCAAAAGTGTATAATCCTCAATTGAAGAAACTTGACATGAGAACCATTAGTTGTTCCTTCATTGGCTATCCCGAAAGATCTAAGGGATATAGGTTCTATTGCCCATCTCACACTACCTGAATTGTCGAGACTCGGCATGCTGAATTCCTTGAGAATACTAACATTAGTGGGTGTAATAGTGGTTCATACATTAATAATGAACTTCAAGAAGGTACTGGAATGAATCCACTTATTATACTACCCATTCCACCTAACTCACCACTTGAAGATCATAGTGAAAATTATACGTCTCATCATAATGATGCAACAAGTCAAGAGGCGAATGAAACTCCAATCAATGTTGAACCAACTCGAAAATCGGGCAAGCTGTGTTGCGTGAAAGTGGAAATCGCGCAGGAGCCCTTTTGCGCTAAACCTGTTCTTCTTACCTGGGAATTGCGCGAAATGCAGAATCGCTCAACTCTGGCTTAACCTGTACGCCAAATTTCTGGGTGCGATTTTTCACAGAGTGAATCTTTGCAAGCCTAGAAACACTTCCTTGTAAACATTTCCTACAAAAATGACAACAAAAACAGAACAGAAAATCGCTCAAGTGCAAAACTTCATCAATGAAGAATCGCACAAGAGTATTTTCCAGCCTTCAATCGATTGATCAGCTCTGGCTCTGATACCCGATGTTAGGTCCCTGTTTTCTATTCTACAATATGTATGGAAGAGTGATCAAATGAGGATGAAGCTTTCCATTGATGTGTAGAAGGTTTTACAGAATGAAATGAAAACTTAGCGTAGAAACCTTTACACGAGAATAGGCTCTGCGGCTCTAGGTATGAAATTTATGGGAAAGCTTAACCTACTCATTCTCCTAAGGGGCATATTTATAGCCTTGGAGAATGGTAGGTTAACAAATGATTGGGCTACAACTTCAAGGAGGCCCATTCCTATTTAGGCAATAGAGCCTTTACTAAATAAAGCCTATTCTATGAATAAATAAACTATTACAAAAAGGCTAAGTAACATTGATCACAATATAATGAAAATATCTCTAACAGAATGGTTTTGGAAAACTAACTTTCCTATTAAAGAAAGTGCCAAGCAACACTTATGTGTAGGACATTTTCCAAGCATCACTATTGAAAAACATCTCAAAATAATAGAAATCCAGCCTTAGGAAGTACCAAGATCTTTTAAGTGCATGAAACAATTTAAAACCATTACACACAGTATGACATAGTGATAGTTAAAAAATATTATAACTCTTAAACGGTTAAACCCTTTTTTATTAAGGGTTTAACAAACTGTCTTCCCCTAGAAGTCGAATACAAAACTTTTTAAAAATGTTGAATATAACTTGAACTCAAACAAAGAATTTGTTAGTTAAAATTTATGTACTCTGATTTGAAGTAGCTTTGCTAGTGCTCAATTTTCTTTTGCAATTTGTATGTTTGAAACTTATAAGTTTGTAATGATTGCCCTGCTAAATATTTTTCCTACTAAAGTAGTAGTGAATTTTTTAGATGCAAAGCAGAATTCTCATTCAAACCAATTGCATATCCATAAGGTGTTCAATTATTGAATGTAGCTTTTTGACAAACACTTTGTGGGCATAAAATGCATATAGTGTACAGGGAATTCGATGAATGAAGTGCGTGATGGGAAATTGAATTAACAGTGACCAAAACGAACGATTACGGTCCGTAGTAACCAAAATGAAAATAATAATAATTTAGTATGTACCTTGTTCATAGAGTAGCAGCAAGACCAAACAAGATGTGTGGAGTATCGGATAAGAATTGAAAGCGGATGTGCGAGCGTGAGAATGAATCATATACGGTTTATTTAAGTCTTGAATGTTTTTTTGGGCGAGGGGAAGGGAAGTAACCGCCAACACTTGTTCAGTGAAAGGTTGAAGGGAAGAGTTGAATTTGGCTTTAGAAATGTGACGGAAAAAGAATTGGGAAGGTGACTCTTATTATATAAATAAGGACAAATATGTATCATTTAATTGTGTTACTTTTATTTTGTGATATGTCAAATTTTAGTATTTTATTATATTTCAATGCTATTTAAATACAATAAACAAATGAAGTAAAAGAAAAGAAAACAAAAAAATGAAATCCCAAAGAATTGCAGCAGGGCTGCGTTTCAAAATTCAAAAAACAAAAAAAGTACTACCTATAAAAAAAGTGCAGCCTAAAAACAAAAAAAGAAAAAAACGTAAGCAAATACAGAGTAAAATGAAAAAAAAGAAAGAGAGGAGAAAGTTATTAACAGAGTAACAGCGGCATATTGATAAGGTATTAAGGTCAAGGCTGGATGTTACATTTAGATTGGTACTAACAGCGGCTTAATGTTGTTTCAATTACTTTGAAAAGTAAAGCATCACTGTTTAGATTAGTCAAAAGAAAAGCAAAAAAAATAACAGTCCACAAAATAGTGTTTCACAGACGGAGGCATTGACGAAAATATGACCGGAGCTTCAGGGGTGACAAGAACACATACCCCTACTCTTACACTCCGGCGAACACTAAACCAAAATAAAGACTGAACAAGATTACAGCCCAAATCAGATTAATCAAAAAATGGCCTTCACAATGTCTGGATATCTCCACCCCGGCCAAATCATCCCACAGGTAGCCAAGATCAAAGCATAACCATTGAAAGTGTCTATGTGCTGTTCATTCTTCCCAAGAAATTTCAGCATGACTTCAGTAGCACCATACAGAGCAAGTGCTACAGCCAGAGTGTTGGCACAAAATGACATCCCAACATCTAGCATCTTGATCTTTGAAACCAAAGGCTCTTCAACATTTATAGAGTGTTCCTTCTTCTCTGTATAAACTTCAAGCCTAGGGCTTAAACAGGAAATGAGATTAAGAAAATGAAAGAAATGTTGGAAAATATTCCAGTTAAATGCCCTTGGATCATTTATATAATTTAATAAATATTGGGGACATTTATGTCTTACCATTAAGTTTGCCATATGACAGATTTGGTCTCTTTATTTATGTATAGTTAACATATGATGGGTATGTTTTAACATTAAATAATACATAAAGGGCCAATTAGTTTTCTATTTGATACAAGTTAAGAAACACCCGTTCGTTCATTCTTACGACTAAGAGGGAAGTACACGTTTCTTCCCAAAGGTTCTCAAGAACACCTATATTAAGAGACCTAAGGGAGATTGTTTAATCCATCGCAAATCCGCTTGTATCCTTAGAGAATCCAACGACATCATGGCTTCATCATCTTCGCCATCAAAGTTTGGTTTCTCCTCAATCGGTTAGTGTTCTTATTGTTTGATTATATGAATTTTATCATGTTTAGTGAGACTAGATCCTTAATTGGGACTGAATTTCTCTACATTTGGTATCAGAGCCATGTTAATTCTCACTTCTATTTATAAAATTTGCCGTTTTCAATCTGCCATAACCGATTTCCGGCGGTCGTTCTTTTTTTTTTCCTTCTTTCTGCCGGGTTTGTAAACTGTTGTTACGGCTACTTGTAAACAACATGAATCCTCAATCATTATGTTATGTTGTTGTATAATTGCCGACACCCATACATAAATACGGAGTATTTAATTTTGTTAAAGTGATGTTTCTGAGAGTGTCTTAATTTCCGTATGCATTAGAGCCAAAATATGGCAAATTCCTTGTTGCTTGCTATTCGTCTATGCATTAAAGTGGATTAAGTGTATACTCCACAAAATATGTTTTGATGTCCTCGATCAATGCGAATATGCGATACATTCATTATTTAGGCTTCTAAAACTGATTTGGAATAACTAATATTCAGTTTTTTTATGTCAATTTGGAAATCGTATGGATGTATTCCTTTAAAATTCTTGTTTGTTTTCATCCAAAGTAAACACTCGTTTAAGGACTATCGAATTATTTTGGTTCCTTAATCAACGTGTGTGTGCTTTTCGTTTGTTTAAAATTGGACTAAGTCAATCTGTCTCTTTTTCACAATCTGAAACACATTAGTTTTGTGTTAAATCTGTCAAATTTCAGAATGAACCGTATACTGTTTTAGATGCAGTGTAACTCACTTGAAGTGTTTATATGCAAACTGCAATTTAATTATGAACATTTGTAAGCCATCAGTTTGTTATACACGTTAGTTGAAAGTATGGGGTTTTTCTTTCTTTCCGTTAATTTTCCAGAATTTGGAATACACTCATTGGAAACTTAAGATTCGATCATTTGCAAAATGCTTAAAGTACGGTCCATGATTTAGGGCT